CTTTTAGCATTATTTTTCTTTACCATCTCTAATGCACAATTCAACCAACAGTGATATAATGGGAACCATGAAATGGATCAGAATTTAATGGAACCACATTGCCCTTGCACATTTTCCATGGTCAGAAGAAGTGCTCATCATTAGAGAGCTGGTGTGGTTAACTGACTAGAGAATTGGACTCAGACCAGGAAGAACCGGGTTTAGATTGCATGAATCTCCCTCATGGGCTGTGAGATACTTCATAGGGTTGTTGAGAGATAAAATAACTACCGTGAGTTCATTTGAAGGAAGGGTAGGATGGGAATGTGATAGATAAATTTACCACGGCAAGAAATGGAAAAGAAATTGTCATGTAAGAATGCAGTTGAAATTTTGTGTCCAGACTTCAGTGTTCTGGTCAGAACTCTTCATATACTGTTCTCAACAACCACAACTTTCAATATCAGATCAATTAAGGGTGAAATCAATCACATTCTTCAAAGCAGATATTGAAGTAGCCATTGCTTTGAGTAACAGGCATACAACCAACTCTTAAGTTGTTCCCATTTCAATCTAAAATTGAACAATTCTAATTACACTGGGGATTTGGAAATCTAATTTTTGTGTTACATCCAGCCTCATATAACCAACATGCTTATGGCTAATTAATGCATGAAGGGGTTAAGACCATAAAGTAAGCTGTCCTGCAAGGTTTAGCTAGGTCAGTCCACCTCACCTTGGGAGGAAGGGTTATCCAGCCTTTGTTCTACCCATTCCATCATGTGAACCCTTCCAGTAAGGAGGTCTAAGCTGGATGCTCCATCTTTGTGTTTCTATACAACAAAGCCATATTTGTGTTTCTATACAAATAGTTTAGGAATATTTACCATTTTGGAACCTAAGCTATACTGCCTGTCTTTTATTGCTGCTGAATGGGAAAGCACATGACTCTGACCATTGAAGAGTTTGTAAATAAACCATTTTTAACTTACCAAACGTATGGTCTTTTTCTATGCTAAGGGAAGTGGGAACTTTAAAAGCAGCTTAGAATTGGATGTTTTAAAGGTATAACAGTCTGTATTTCCAAGCTTTACTTCGCTCCATGTTTTGTGTTTTTAAATATCTGCTGGGGTTCTCTCACCAAAGAGTACTTGCCCTGAACCTGGATCTAGGCATCCAGGGAATTCTCCTTTTTTATTTTACCATATCTATTTTCCCTTCAGCCAAATGAAACCATCAGATTTTGACTTGGTGGGAGGAAATATCTTAAGCATTACTTTATTGGTCTGGTAGTCTTAAATCACTGTATTGGTCTGGCAGTCTTTGAGGAGTATTCAGTGACTCAGACATAATCCATTCAGGGCCAAACTAGACATCATAAACAGATGCATGTAACATTCCCCACAACCTTTTAATAAATAAAAATAAAATAAAGACCAACCTCAATGTACTGAGGCTGGACACAGAGGAATGACAAGAGGAGAGGATCCTTAACCTTCTCTCTGCCTGCCTACCAGCCAGCTGGCCAGCCATTTTTTGCCTCTCAAAATCTTCCCCAAGGTGCTTCCTCACCAGGCCCAGCGTTAGCACTCAGCATACAGGAGCAATCCACATTTTCCTAGAACACATCTCAATAGAAACGGGGACCAGCCAGTCTGTATTTACCAATATGAAAAGTTGTATTGTGAAATCATCATACAGTTGCCTAGTTTAGGATAGATTTGGATGCACACTTACTAGATTTGAGTCATGTTTTCTTTCTATATGAGCATACCTGCATGAATTTGTGCGTACTGCCTGTCACCAATAATACAACACCACAAAATACATTGAAGATCATTTTGGGTGGCATGTTTTGGGTGCCCAGTAACACATACTGATGCTCATGGATATCCAAGCCAATGCATATCATGGCATAATGTAGCAAAAAGAAGAGAACAGCAGCTTATGTGTGATAAGTGCTGTTCTATTCATGGATGGGATAAGAGCTGTAGGCCAGGCTTGAAAATTCCTCTCCATCAGCAAGAGATTGAAAAAACTAAGGGCTGGGGAAAGATACAGAGAGCGGTTGAGAAAGAGCAGTTCACTCTTACTAATGAAATTTGCCTGTCATCGAACCCTTCAGGCTATTGCAAAAAAGATACAGGAACCTCACAAAGGACCAACTGTACCACCTCAGGACTTCCCTCCAGATGCCTTCAAAGAAACAATGGCAACTTCCTCCAGAGTTGTATAATCCTTGCTGCATCTCTTATCAACCGCAAACAAGAAGTGACACTGTTGTCAGTCTTCAAGTGCGCTAAGACTACCCATTGGTGGCCACCACCACTGAGCTAGTGGCATGTTAGGATGGGTAAAAACATGTCCCTGCCACACGCATTTGGATCCCATATTAAGTACATAGGTGATGCAATGAAGTACTTGGTGGTTCCCAGATATCCTCAAGAGCTGAAGTTGACTATACCACATGGGCAAAATAAAGCCATGTTCAATAAATCCTTCAAAATAAAGTGAAAGGACTAAGTAGTCTAAATGAGAGGCACAGATAGGATAACTATTTTTCCCCTCTAGACAACCAAAACATTAAGTATCCCTTTAATACAATGCATGGGAAACTTATTATTTCTAGATCCAGCTTCCTATGCATAGTTTGGTTGGGCCCTGTATAATTATATGAGTGGAAACACGCTGTTAATAACACCAAAGGATATATTATAAAGAGGTTAGGATAATATGCGTAATCACTGTGGGTTGCACCTTGTTAGATTCTGGAGAAGGAAAACGTTACATTCTCTTTTTTTAATAATAAAAAAGCAAGGACACAGTCTTGTAATAATAATGCAAAAGGAAGGTGAAAAATGAGGTAAGGCAGCTTTGGTTATGCATAACAAAGACCTTCATTTTCACAGCCATTATGAAAACAAGCTTTTCAAAGGCACTCGGGTGCCATACAGCAAGTCTCAATCGTAGGTGCTTACTCTGTTATTAAATTTAGCCTCGGGGTCCCTGGTTATAAATGAGAGATCTTTATGGCTTCAGTTTGATGTATTTAGCACTAGAGTCACTGTAGTAGAAACCAAGCTGAAATGACAGTTTCCCTATAGAATCATAGAATCATAGAGTTGGAAGAGACCACAAGGGCCATCGAGTCCAACCCCCTGCCAAGCAGGAAACACCATCAGAGCACTCCTGACATATGGTTGTCAAGCCTCTGCTTAAAGACCTCCAAAGAAGGAGACTCCACCACACTCCTTGGCAGCAAATTCCACTGTCGAACAGCTCTCACTGTCAGGAAGTTCTTCCTAATGTTTAGGTGGAATCTTCTTTCTTGTAGTTTGGATCCATTGCTCTGTGTCCGCTTCTCTGGAGCAGCAGAAAACAACCTTTCTCCCTCCTCTATGTGACATCGTTTTATATATTTGAACATGGCTATCATATCACCCCTTAACCTCCTCTTCTTCAGGCTAAACATGCCCAGCTCCCTTAGCCGTTCCTCATAAGGCATCGTTTCCAGGCCTTTGACCATTTTGGTTGCCCTCCTCTGGACACGTTCCAGTTTGTCAGTGTCCTTCTTGAACTGTGGTGCCCAGAACTCCAGGTGAGGTCTGACCAGAGCAGAATACAGTGGCACTATTACTTCCCTTGATCTAGATGCTATACTCCTATTGATGCAGCCCAGAATTGCATTGGCTTTTTTAGCTGCCGCATCACACTGTTGGCTCATGTCAAGTTTTTGGTCAACCAAGACTCCTAGATCCTTTTCACATGTACTGCTCTCAAGCCAGGTGTCACCCATCTTGTATTTGTGCCTCTCATTTTTTTGCCCAAGTGCAATACTTTACATTTCTCCCTGTTAAAATTCATCTTGTTTGTTTTGGCCCAGTTCTGTAATCTGTCAAGGTCATTTTGAAGTGTGATCCTGTCCTCTGGGGTGTTAGCCACCCTCCCAGTTTGGTGTCATCTGCAAATTTGATCAGGATGCCCTTGAGTCCATCATCCAAGTCGTTGATAAAGATGTTGAATAAGACCGGGCCCAAGACAGAACCCTGTGGCACCCCACTAGTCACTCTTCTCCAGGATGGAGAGGAACCATTGATGAGCACCCTTTGGGTTCGGTCAATCAGCCAGTTACAAATCCACTGAGTGGTAGCATAGTCAAGACCGCATTTTACCAGCTTCTTTACAAGAATATCATGGGGCACCTTGTCAAATGCCTTGCTGAAATCAAGGTAGGCTACATCCACTGCGTTCCCTTCATCTACCAGGCTTGTAATTCTGTCAAAAACGAGATCAGGTTAGTCTGACATGACTTATTTTTCAGAAATCCATGCTGACTATTGGTGATCACAGCATTCCTTTCTAGGTGCTCACAGACTGTTTGCTTAATGATCTGCTCCAGAATCTTCCCTGGTATTGATGTCAGACTGACTGGGCGGTAATTATTTGGGTCCTCTCTTTTCCCCTTTTTGAAAATAGGGACAACATTTGCCCTCCTCCAGTCTGCCGGGACTTCGCCTGTTCTCCAGGAATTCTCAAAGATGACTGCCAGTGGTTCTGAGATCACATCTGCCAGTTCTTTTAATACTCTTGGATGCAGTTCATCTGGCCCTGGAGACTTGAATACATCTAAACTAGCCAAGTATTCTTGTACTATCTCCTTAGTTATTCTGGGCTGTGTTTCCTCTGTTGAATCATTTGCTCCAAATTCTTCAGGTCGGGCATTGTTTTCTTTATCAGAGAAGACTGAGGCAAAGAAGGCATTGAGGAGTTCAGCCCTTTCTGTGTCCCCTGTTTGCATTTCACCATCTTCTCCTCTGAGTGACTCCACTGTTTCTTTGTTCTTCCTTTTGCTACGAACATACCCATAAAAGCCTTTTTGTTGCTTTTAACCTCTCTAGCAAGCCTGAGTTCATTCTGTGCTTTAGCTTTTCTGACTTTGTGTCTACACGTGCTGGCTATTTGTTTGAATTCCTCTTTGGTGGTTTCCCCCTTTTCCATTTTTTTGTACACATCCTTTTTTAATCTTAACTCAGTTGAAAGTTCTTTAGATAGCCACCCTGGCTTCTTTAGGCACCTTCCATGTTTCTGTCTCATGGGTATTGCCTGAAGTTGTGCTTTTACTATCTCCCTCTTAATAAACTCCCAGCCATCATGAACTCCCTTTCCTTTTAGTATTACTGTCCATGGGATCTCACCCAGCACTTCCCTAAGTTTTATGAAGTCGGCTTTCTTAAAGTCAAGAAATTGAGTCCTAGTATGCTTGGCTGCTCCTTTCCGCTGTATAGTAAACTTCAGAAGAGTATGATCACTCGCGCCTAATGATCCTTCCACTTCTACCCCACTAACCAGGTCATCAACATTGGTTAGGACCGGATCTAAAATGGCTGTTCCTCTTGTTGCTTCTCCCACTTTCTGGACAATGAAGTTGTCTGCAAGGCCAGTGAGGAATCTGTTTGACCTTATGCTCTTGGCTGAGTTTGACATCCAACAAATATCCGGGTAATTGAAGTCGCCCATTACTACTATCTCCCTTCCTTTTGCATGCTTGGCCATCTGTTCCAGGAAGGCATCATCTATGTCCTCCGTTTGGCTTGGGGATCTATAGTAAACTCCCACAATGAGGTCACTGTTATTCTTCTCTCCCTTAATTTTGACCCAAATGCTCCCAGTAGCAGGACTGTGCCTGCTTTTGAGAGGTTGCCACAATATTTGGGGAGGGGGAATCAACAGACACTGTGGAGATTCATTGGCAGGAGGATTGTCCTGTCAGTTCCTAAACAGCTACCAGGGCAATCCGGATAATTTTTTACTAGAATTCCCATTATCCCTGACTATTGGCCTTGGTAGCTGGGGCTGATGGGAGTTGTAGTCTAAAGAAGACAATACTGCTGAGATGGGGCAAATGCTTGTCCTAAAAATGCTGTACTGGTTACTCCAGAGCACACAAATTATATGGCTGAAACAATGCTATTTTTCTAGGAAAAGAGGAGCTGAAACTCACCATGAACACCTTCTTTGTTCTCTTATAATGGCAATGGCGCCCACCTGGTTCCACCCACTAGAGTTTTGGTGAGTTCCAGGTGGAAAAAAGCCTTGGGAGCAAAAGGCTCAGGCTACCATTTGGCGAGCAAGGGAGAAGAACTTAGCACCCAAAAGCTTTGTATTCACATGCCAAAAGAAGTTCATGGAGTAGTCTCAGTAATACAGTAGAACCTTGATTTTCGAGCATCTCAGAAGCCAAACGATTCGGAACCTGAGCACCGAAAACCCAGAAGTGAATGCTTCCGTTTTCAAACGTGCCTCGGATGTTGAATGGCTGACTGTCAATTGCACCTCAGTTGTCAAACGTTTCGATTTCGAACGGTTTTCCAGAACGGATTACGTTCGACAACCAAGGTTCCACTGTATCAGATGCCCTAAATGAGAAGGCTGAGAGTGCATGCTTGAACCTTAAAGCTAGGTGGAAGGTCAATCTTGGGATTGCAGTTTCAGAAAACCAAGCAAATGTGCTTTAAAGCTCATACTGATCAAAATCTCAGTCTGGGTTAAAGGGGCTGCACTTAAATCACTCCACAAATTGCACTACAATGCAGTGCAGTTGCCTAGAATTAAAACAACTTGCTTTGTCTAGCCCAGGCATAGGCAAACTCGGCCCTCCAGATGTTTTGGGACTACAACTCCCATCATCCCTGACCACTGGTCCTGTTAGTGAGGGATGATGTGAGCTGTAGTCCCAAAACATCTGGAGGGCCGAGTTTGCCTATGCCTGGTCTAGCCTGCTGGAGAAGGCGTAAAGAAAAGGGTGCTCAACAAAATTGTCTTTTGGCCTAAGCAGGTCATTCAGTGCACCCCTGTAGTGTTGGAGATAATATCACAGGTTGTTGGGGATATGTTGTTTCAGCAGCCCATGGTGGCATCTCCTCTAAATTCCATGGAAGATCCATGTGGCAGCACCAGTTCATACCAGGAGATACCTAGCAAGGATATAATGGGGAACCTCTCTGTATATGAACAACAGTGAGACATTTGTTTAGTCTCCTGCAATTCCACCCCATCTCTGTCTGGCTCACTTGTATATAATGAGACGCACCACTCCAACTCAACAGGCATGCTCAAACTGGGTTTCCACAAGTCCAAACATTAACACTGCATGCCACTGAGAATGTTCCCTACTGCAGCCAAGTAGGAAGCATGCCAGGTTTCATCGCAAGGGTGCATATTCACCTGTCATCAATTACAGGGTTTGCACAAAACTTTCTGCTAATCCATTGGTGGGTGAGTGGGATGGTGCAGAGAGGTAAATGTGAATGCCATTTTGGTACATAAAGTGTTCAAATTCTTCTGAAGCAAACTGTGGGTCATTGTCACTGATGACTTTGCAAATATCATATGAAGGGGACTCTTGACAAATTCAGATATATAGCAGAGTCTTTGTTTAATTTATTTTTCACAGCACATTAGCAGCTCTCTTGCGGCACACTGCTGTGCTCCTGCAGCACACAGTTTGGGAATTTTCTGACCTAGGTAGTAGGCTGCTTTTAGTATCCTGCCAAAAATAAGTCTGAATTTTTGAACAGATGTGGCATTGCCAGGAACAGCTGAGTGGGTAGAGGGGCTTTTTATTTTCCTATATGAAAGGGCCAAGGGTCACAACAATCATCCAAGCATTGTATTGTATCTGTAAAATAAATAGATTTCAATGCCATGTGTGGTAACAGGTTTTTTTCCGTCAATACATAACAGGCTCTAGAAAAGGAACGGGGGGGGGGGGGGACGACCTTTGCTAAAACACAAAAGGATACATTCTATTGCATTTTGCCAGGATACAAAAGAAATACAAAAACCAAAACACTTGTCAATATTTAGAAAGTTTCAAGGTTATGTTTTCTTCCTGCAGCTTTGTTTTTCCTAAGATAACTGATGTGAATACAAGCAGTCAAGACAACTAAGGAAGAATTTAAAAAAACAACAAACTGGATTGTGGGAAAGTACAAGACGGGATGGAAATGTCAAGATGCACTGTTTATTCAAACCAATGGTGACCTTCTCTTCAAGGCTATTTCTTGGAGCTTCAAAGAAAAACACCATTGGAGGATTGCAATACCTGCCAATTTTTTAAAAAATCCAAGATTTTGTTTTCTGGCCTGGGACTTTGAAGTCTCCACCTCTACCAGGACCTTCTAGCATGAAGCAGAAGTAAAGCCAAGAAAAGCATCCTATATTTAATTTACATTTTTTTTCTGGACCTTTAACTGTGTGCTAAAAGTGGCCATTTCCTCACATTCCAGTCAATGCAGTGACAGGGGCTGAGATTGCAACCACTGGCACTGCCCCCATACATTCAGCATAAAATGAGAACGGGCTGCATGAACAATCAACTAACTGAATAAGTGCAAGGTTTGTACTCATGAGACGAAACCTTGATATAAGATAGTGCCAACATGAAATCTGCCCCTCTCCATCACCGCTTACAGCTTCCCATAAGGTTTTACTACGCCACATCTTGTAAAGCAGGGTGCTTTGAGGGTGGTATAGCAAATGTCTAAGAAATTCGTAAGAAACTTCTTGTTGAAACATCTTCAGCAAACAGAAAGAATTTTTGCAAGCCTAATCATGGCGCCTTGATGATTTCGGGGGAGGGAGTTGCTGCATGGGTGGGGAGAGTTGCCCGTGACTGTTCCTCTGGTTTGCAAATGTGCCCTCAGGTCCAAAAAGGTTGGCAACCCCTGCTTTAGTATTGTGTCCACTCACTGCGATCTATGAGGCTTTTCATGTGACACCATTCCTTCTCTGCAGGGATGTGAGAATCCATCATCCTCCCTTATACAATGCATTGTTGTACACCCATTTGTGTGTTCATTACATAACTGTGTTGCAAAATCTGAAGCAGTGCAGATTTTGCAGAATGTTTGTTTTGTTGCATATTGTTTTGGAAAGTGTAAATTAATACAAAGTGAATCAAATTTCTCACCCAAACCTATTTCTCTACCACATTTTCTGTGTTCTCAGACAGCCTCCTCACACCGACTTGAAGAAAGCAGCAAGGCTCTCTGCATAACTTCTTTCCTTTCCTTCCATCCACATTTCCTGGGGACTAGGCCAAAAGAATGCCTGTGGGATATACAGTCCTGCATGGAGAGTCTAGTCACTCACTACAAAATGATGTGACAAGGATTTCCCAGCCCCCAGGAAACACAGCAAGGAAGGAAGAATGGATATCCTTGCCACTTGCTCTCAGGAAACAACACTTTGTTTAAACTGAAAAGGGGCGAAAGAACCCCCAGCCGCATCATATTGCATTATGGTATGCCCCCCGCAGTCCCCCAAATCTCTGAGGAATTTGCTGTGCCTCCCAACTCAGCTTCAGGCATTTCACACACACTTCCCAACTGTAGAGAGCCAGTGTGGTGTAGTGGTTAAGAGCGGTGGACTCGTAATCTGGTGAACCGGGTTCACGTCTCCGCTCCTCCACATGCAGCTACTGGGTGACCTTGGGCCAGTCACACTTCTCTGAAGTCTCTCAGCCTCACTCACCTCACAGAGTGTTTGTTGTGGGGGAGGAAGGGAAAGGAGAATGTTAGCCGCTTTGAGACTCCTTCGGGTAGTGATAAAGCGGGATATCAAATCCACACTCTTCTTCTGTAAGTTCTGCTGAGATATCAGCACACAAACGTCTTTAATGATTAGGCCATGTGGGGTACAAATCCGTAAGCAGAACTTGAAATGTACTGACCCTAGGCCTTCAGCTACAAGTCATCTAGGTAGAAGTAGGGAAAATGGAGAGAAGGGAGATCCAGTTTCTCCAAATGGAGTTCATAAGTAAACAAACTTCAGAAATAGAGCTTTTTACCTGCTGATAATCCATCTGCAACACCTGGGTGCATGCCTATTGTTTTAATCAGGCTTTGCAGAGATTAGAGTTGAAAGCATAGTTTTCAAAAGTGTGTTACACTCCTCTTGCCCTCTTTTCATCTTATCTCTTTTCCATCTCCTTAATTTTATCTTGCTAACCAATTTCTCTTCCCCCACCTTGTCCCCTGCTTTTATTTTAATTAAATTCTTCCTAAGACTAGAAGCTTAACCAAGATTTATATTAAGGAGACAGCCTGCTCAACAGGCAGGTTTCTTCGCCCTTAGCTTTCAGAGTCACATTTATCATTCAATTTTTGACCATCTGTGCATGTTCTTTTTCTACTGTGGGTTTGGGGTTTTTTTTTACTTAAAATAACAGAGAAGCAAAGGGCAAAAACAACAAAAGCACAAGAAATTAAACTTAAGGCTTGTGAAACAGATTGGGAAAAGGCACGGTACAGTAGGGCATGAATTCACCTACATAAACAAGCTTTTGCCGTAGCTTCTCCTAAGGAAAACACTAAATTAAATGCCCTTTCCAGAGTTAGCACGTATGGATCAGGGGAGTAGGGATCACTGCCCAGTAATACATAGGTTCAGTTGAATGTCTGAATATACATTGGTCCGTGGCAGGCCCTACTACCATCTTCTCACCTCTACACACTCTGTGTGCTTTTTCTTTGGAAGTGTGGTACAATCTGGAAAAGACATACAGTAATTGCATGCCACTCTCAGACAGAGTATTCAGCACAAAGCCGACATCCTCATGGATCCTTGGGGAAGCTTAAGCTGTTCCAAGTTTGTACATGCAAATGTACCAACAAAAAATAGTTGGATTTATCAGCGGGTGCTACCAATTCACTTTGTATGAATAAATTTTGTTAGTAGTTATTCCTGCTTTGTAGAGTTTCCTGTTAACTTGTTCTACAAGTTTAGGGTGGGTAGCACAATTTATACAGACTTTATTTCATGCCAACTTGTGAAATCCTTTGGGCTCACCAGGTGATCTTCAAAACTGAGTTGAGAATTGAACCCAAGTCTCATCACCAAACCCAACCTTCTACTCAGTGCCGGATTTATGTGTAAGCTAAACAAACTATAGCTTAGAGCCCCACTCTCTTGGGGGCCCAAAAAAATTTAAAGGAAAAAAACTGGATGTACATTTCCAAAATATAAGATAAAAAACAAATAAAATAAAACCTACATACAGCAACAGTGTATTGTGTTGTGTAGGCTCCTGTTTGTTATGTGCAACTCACTTTAGATACCTATTAGGTCCATAAATTACCATATGGCAT